TCTTTAATATTTGTTTAGTTTTTTCTGCATACTTCTTTGTTAAACATGAAGCTGTCTGTGGCTCTTTTCTGCTCTAACAATGTAAATGTCCCCTCTGTGGGACGAATAGAGGTATTCTGATTCTGATTCTGATTCATATTTGGGCAATACCAATAATTACAATCTGACAAACCATAGAATCAATAACTCTCAATAACAAAAACAAAAATAATGTGGATATTAATGAGACTGAAACACCTATTATATGCCTATTCTAAGTAGATCACGGTTGTAACATGTCCCAAACGAAGTAAAAGTAAGGATGTAGTAAGAAAGAGTTATAAATATTGTATCTTTAATAAAGAAAAGCATGAGAAACGTTTCACTAACTAAGGTATTTGGATGCTAACAGGGAGCATAGTTCAGGTGTTACAGGAATAAACACTTTCTTTGCAAGAGAAATATCAAGCCTGCATAAATCTGCCCATTCATTGTTATGGTCCCCCGAGGGACAAAGGCTTGGTATTATTGAATATCAGTGGGGCACCGCCACTAGCTGCTTGAGGAATGACTCAGACTGCAAGTAATGCATTCACAGAAGAAATGTTTACCCAGTCTTGTAGGTGCTGTGTCTGGAAAAACACATGCCATATGTTGCCATGGCACACGCATAAAACAGACAGCTGCTCAGCCTCCAGTCAGTCAGCCAATCTCAGATGTATCGATTATTAAACAATGGTACACTCAGCCTCTCAGATGTATTTATATTTGATTGTAGATCAACTGTCTGGCATTACTCATACCTATTCATATTCCAGAGAGTGTCTCATAGTCAGATATTCTTGGACTACATGAATAAACCTTCCTCCGGGGGCTGCTGGTTCAAGCTCCTGAAACATACATGGTAGAATGAGCCTGTGGATTTAGAGTTATTCGGTCAAACCGCATCTCTTCACTTTGGCTTTTACTTTCAGTACTTGCCAGGGTGAGCTGGAGTTCTGCCCTGGAGCAAAGAGAGAGACATTTCTTCATTATGGGATTATTCTTAGCAAATGGTGGACTTGGAATCTATTAGGTAAATGAAACATGGGTGCCTGGACTGACGTCTGTGCATGTGAAAAAGCTTTTCCTCTCAATGATGAATGAATGCAGGCCGGTCTAGCTAGCAGAACTGTATCAAAGGCAAATGGTTTGAGATTTAAAGTGCGGACTTCATGATTAAAATCATCATCATGGGTCTGCTGAAAAAATGCTCAGCTCATCCTTTTTTACAGATAATCTAAATAAAGCAGAGTGACGTTTAATAAGCCTTTGCGAGACATGGACGCAGTGTCTGACTTCTTATTGGAAAAAGCTTTGAAACTTTTTAATGAAATTAGGGAACGGTATATAGCCAAAGAATATATATTTTATTTTTTGTAATGTAAATACTTTGTGCACCCTGTTCTTTCTCTTCCTAGTGTCTGCATCCTGCAACAAGTAACCATGTCATATATCATTGTCCATCAGACAAGGGGTTCTGCTAAACACACAATGATATGTTCTTTTAGGCTTTTCTGCCTTTATTAGATATGACAGTGGGGAAGGAAGGCTTGCATGCAGCAGTAAGGGATTTGATGATGTGGAGCACAATCTGATCAGCAACACTGTGACACGATACATCCCTTACGTTACGTACGTTGAGGTGTTTTGCGTAATTCATAGTTCATATGTCTCATGTCACTCATTCCATATTCAGTTTTTGTTCATATTTTTAGAACATTTCTAAAATGATTTGCTTCGGCTGGCACTCATGCATGGATAATTAGTTTTACCACTGAAAGCCTCAACAAGTGCTGTCTGCTGAAGGGACTCACTGAAAGAAAAAGGAGAATATGAATTGTGCTCGGTGAGAAAGCTCCTTTCTCCTTTCCAATCCACCAAATGTCTTAAATCAGGTAACAAAAACACTGTATTAAAAAAAGCAATATATCCTCAATAGGAGTCTAGGCAGACATTCAGAATTGACAACAAACAGTATTCCAATAATGTCTTATTATGTATGCATTAAAATGGTCTGGCCTAGATGTTGTTTTCGTTATTGATGGAGATGGGTCGGAATAGCATCTGTCGGATTAATAAATAAAGATGAAATGCCATCAAGCTCGCTGAGAGAGATGGGCGGAGCTGAATGCTTCAATGTGTGCGTGGGAGCGGGAGAGGCATTGTCGTTTATTTGAGTTTTGGAATGGATTTGTTGCTTTGGCATGAAGTGCCAAATATTAAGACCTCTTTTCAAAGTAATATATTATTGATAATTTCCCCCTCCGAATTAAAGAGGGTATTTTCTCATTTGATACACAATAACAATGTGGACTAATCCTTTACTGAGAATCACAGCTCATTGGATGAGAGCAAACAGTGCTACTGTTATATATTGATTGATATATTGTTTTTATTGTATTTATTCTCATACATTGCTGTCCAACCCATCAGCTAAAAAGGGCCTTCTCAAAATGCCAACTGTATTTTTCACTACAAAAAGAAAAGGTCTTTCCAACACCGTGCAGACATTTAAATACTGATGTGTCCTGAAACTAACGATGTTTTAACTGTGTGTGCTAAATGGCAGAGGGGTCTTAAGTTAAAAACCAACACATTACAGTAGGATTATTGCTTCCATGCCGACAGCCAGCAGAACTCTCTCCAGATACTTAGGGATCAACTTGATTTCAATATCGAAAGTGGGTCATTTACTTAAATTACATCGAAGTGAAAGTAAGTAAATGTTCTTGCTGACTATACAGTGTTTCTTTCACATTGTAAGGAATCATTTCAAAGAGTCAAGTCCAGTGGAGCTTTCGATACCTGTCGATTTGGCTTCAATGTCAAGACTTTGGTACAATCGAGTTCAATTCTCATGTCTCTTGGTAAGAGATGGATGATCGTAGTTGTCCAAACTTCTGGATGAAGTCGGTTTGAGCCTGGACTAACGCCTCCTCGTCTATGTACACTGCCGGCCTTCTGGCTGCAACGAAGTACTGCACCTTCCTCAGACTCCAGCCAAGGACGTACAGGAGCAAGCCGCACACAGCTGCAGTCGACCTGCCCACTCCAGCATTACAGTGAACATAGACAGTGTGACCATTTTCCAAGAGCCCATGGAGCAGATACACTGCCTGGGGAAGCATCCTAATGCGACCTGCAAAAGGAGACACAATAGATCTAAAGCAGAGGGCTTGTACATGTGAAGTATGAATATATGTAAATATTTCTTTGCTTGCATTTACTGTGAAAGTACAAGTAGCATTATTTTGCGACTCACACAACACATGAGATACTGCCCAACCATTCAGGTTAAAGGAAACCTTACATTAGAAGGTAATGAGCATGGTTAGATATAATTCCACCATTCACAGATTGATGTATTTATTGCATTCATCTCATTCTAGAAAAGTGTTACTAAAATAATTATTTTGGGGATTGTCCACTTCAAAATATATGAATGGAACCATCACTAAAACAAAGTATGCATATTGAGTAAGTTTAGAGCTCTTCAGCCGGAATACGGCCAAAGAGTCTTTCAGAAAGACGAGGAGCCCTCACTCAGACCTGACTAAATACTATTACTACACCTGTATTTATTCTTTTAAGTGCACAGATGTGTCCTTACCCTCAGTGCTCATGTCAGGAGTGGGTATCCACACGTACAGCAGTCCACAGTCTTCGTACAGACGCATCATCGTCTCCGGGGTCATGGCTTCCCCTGGGTCGTGCCTGCAGCCATTAGAGTTGTTTACCACGTCCAACTCTGTCTGGAAGTTCATCACTGCAGTAATCCCCAATTCCTGCTTCATCTTTATGGTCACGTGTTCCACCTGTCGAGGGCAGCTTCCCAGCCAAATACGTGGCAATACCCTGGGGATAATGAATATGCATAATCCATTTTATGAATGCAAGCAGTCATTATTAAATTATATATATTATGCTGAACCTGTGAGGTTAACGCAATGCCTGAAGAGAAGTGTTTGAATGAAGTAAAAGGGAATTATGACTTTAAATGACACTGTAGATGTAATAATTGGATAAAATGGTTTAAAGGGTTTGAATGAAGCTTTATACTCTGAAAGCAAATATGGTGAAGAGGGTGACAAAGAGGTGACGCTCTGCCCCTGTTGGCCATTGTGTGGGGTATGAGCAGAGAATTTCAAGGTACTCCTGAGCCAATTAAAGTAATTGTTTTCTAACTGTCCGACAGGCAGATCAAGGAAAGCTGACCCTTACAAGTCACTAACAAGCACATGGTTTCATTCTGACTCTGTAGTTTTCCTCCCTTTCTCCTTCATGGCACTGATGTTTTGTTTACATCTTGTACTTATAATTCTTCTCGATACCACTTCGGTCTAAGGCACACTCATTTAGGGTTCATTAATGTGCATTAAGTCAACAACCAGAGCAGGTGACTCTACGTTAATCTGTAATGTCCCAAAGTGGCCTCTGGTTTCGACTTGCTGTGTAATCAGATATCCTCTTTTCTTTACATAAAATGCTTTTGCTAAATGGCTTTGTTGCAAATCAATCAATTGTCTTGTTTTTTATTAAATCATTATACACCTGTTCTTACTCTTACAGAAAGTATCAACACCAATTGGACCATATCATAACTGAAAAGCTAAACTGAAGTTGTGTAAAACTGATGTTTCTGTTGTGTATTCTGTGTGACTAGCAGTGTATCTATTACGTAAAATGAGTAAATACAATTATTGGTAGATTCTAGCTGATGCTTTATTGCTTTACATAATTTAGCCGAACGATGTAGGATTACATTTCTTGGAAAATATGTCTGTTTTATTGCTCATACAACATTATTACAAACTCATTACGATCTGGCTTTATAACCTTCAGGCCTCCTCTCCTCTGAATCAAAGCATTGGAGACGAGGCACCTGTTAGACAGCAAGTTAAAACCTCTTTGAATCATATAATGAGTTATTGCAGAGGTGAGTGTGTAAATGGTACTGGGGAGCAAACGGATGCAAGGTCTGAGAGACTAATTTGAAAAAGCTATTAATAGCAAAGATACAAGGGCAGAGTGCTTCCTACTGAACAAGGGTCCTTGACATAAGCCTTGTAAGGTCTTCGGACACAAATGAATACCCGATGGCACCGGCCAAGCTTGCTCGTTGTTATGCAAGTGATGTGCTCACTGCCACAGGGTTCCTGGGCTCCTGATACATCATGGCACTAACTATGTTTATATTATTATGGTCCACTATATTAAAATGATCATGTGATCTTTAGAGGTTGCCTCTGTAAATTATTTGAGAAAAGTATTAATTTTAGTATATTTTGACTAGGGTTAAGAGTTGCTAATTTTAATGCAACTATTGAGCCTGGAAGCTGTTAAATAATTGAGTTAGCTAGATAACAGCTAATGGTATCTTCTTCATAGTCTTGTGAATAGGAAATCAATTGAAATACATTGCATATATAATACCTACTGTTTGAGCTGATAATGCAGCTGCTGGGGGCCGACTTGTTCAACAATTCTAAGGGTAGACAGCATTTAAACTAAAAGAAAGAGAGCAAGATTCAAAAGCTAAGGAGTGAGCAGCCCTGAGAGCATGGTTGCTTCTTTGTATGACACTGTTCAGGCCTTTTCGCAGGACACTGCTAAAGATTAATTTTCTCTCACAGATATTCTACCATGACAAAGCAGAATTCCGAGCTGCACTGACAATACAAAGCAATACATGAGCTTTACTAACTTAATAAGATTGGTATTGTTTGGAAAGTGTTAACACAATAAGAAAAGAAGAGCTGATGTGACCCTCTGTGTTATTTAAGAAACAATCACACTTCAGCAGGGGAATTCATTGGTCCCATTGGACCTCATTCATTTTCATTATTATTACATTTGGTAAGAAATCCTGGGAAATTACAGAAAATTACAACATAGACCTGTTTCAAAGTAATAGTGTCAAACTGTTTCAATACTTAGTGTATGACCAAATCTTCTCTTTCACTGGGAGGTCAGAGGTAAAGCACTTATGGGGCAACTGTGGCTGTGACTGGGTAGTGTGGTTGTCTAACAATCAGAAGGTTGGGGGTTCAATCCCAGTCAACATATTGATGTATCCATGGGCAAGATCCTTGCTGACTTGTACAGTTTATGTAAAGTGCCATGTGGGGTTGTAAATAGGAATAGCACTATAAAAAAGCAGTCAATTTAGAAGAACAGCAACCATCTTGTGAAAGTACACCTAGCTGGTTGCAGGACTTCAGTGTGTAACCCATGCTGCTAACCCCCAACAGTCTAAAGTCATGCTGTCTCACTACTGAACCTAAATTCTATAACATTTCAACTCAATCCCACAATGTTTTTTTTCTTTTATGTGTTAGTTTGTTGTAACTACTATTCATTTAGTTAATACTTTTGGTATCCACTGTGAACAATTGTAATACAAAATATGAAATCATTCAATGAAAAAAGATTTCTGCTGCAACTGTGACATGTTTTACTTATAGACATTCCCAGTATTTGGTTTGGCTTTGTTTCTACTGTACTGTTTTACCTGGAGAAATGAATGGAATTCTGACCGGCCACACTGAAGTAAAAGTTGGTGGTGTGTTTCATCTCATCTGTGTGTCCTGTTTCCTCTATCCAGTGACCAATCGGATGGCAGTAAACTCCATCCACTATGTTCTTCTCATCAAATGAACAACACCTGTCATGGCTCGGATTGCTACCTGGTGACAAGCAAGACACATTTTCTGCAGGTTGGTGTTGAATTTTTACAGTAGTATAGTAACACTATATTCTTCTGACAGGTACAGTCAGTAACTACTACATTTGTAGATTTGAACTATATAGAATTAATGCGATAATTTAAAGGTCCCATGTCATGCTTTTCCGGCGAAACTATGGGGCGCTTACACTGTAGGTGCGCCGCGTTTGGGGGTGCGGGTGCTAGTGGAGCCTCGCAGATGGGGGTGCTGCAGCCCCCTCAGCACCTCCCCTTCCCGCGTCCATGGTGCTCAGGCTGAGTTTCGAGATGTCTCAGGAAACAAGGAAACGACACCAGTAATACAGCTCACACTGTCCGTTCCTCACAGCAGCGAGTCGCGCAACGTCCCGCCAACACGGCACCCAGACCCCACGCAGCATTCTCATCTGTTTGTTATTACTGGTGTCATTTTCTGGTTGCTAACGCCATTGTAACACAAACACTGATGTTCCGCTGTAAAGGTGGTGGACTCATCAGAACAGAGTGGGCGAGCTGACCAATCAGAGCACAGTGGGCTCATAGGGAGGGGGGCAGGAGCTCCAACAAGCCGTTTAGGACAGAGAGTGAATACACATACTATACAGAGATGCTGTATGAGAAACGAATGTCATTTTGGAACATCGAACAATGTAAATCTATTCTAGTAGACCTCAACATTGGAATTATGATCAGTAGAAATGGTCATGACATGGGACCTTTTCATAAAATGGAAAGCATTTGTACAAACAACTTTCTTAACAGTGTACAACTTAAAGGGGACCTATCATGCAAAAATGCACTTTTGTACCTCATTTTTTAAATGAATATGTGTCCCCGGTGTGTCAGGGAACTCACCAAGTGTCAGAAACACAACCCTCTCTCTTTCCTCCATACCCAAATCTCTAAAAATGGGGCTGCAACGGATCTGATACAGACTGATACATATTTGAAATATCTCTGATGTCAGAAACGAGGAGCTCCGCCTATATGGGCAACTCTCCACCTATCAGGAGGAGACAGCCACGGCCATTGCCGTTCGAAAGCGCTGGAGACACTGTAGTACATATGCCAGGCCTGTAGGTAGCGCTGTAGTCTGCCACAAAAGCAGCGAAGAAGACTTCTCACAGATTCAGCCGTTGCAAAAAACAGGGCTAAAAAATAGCAAATAGAGCAAAATGAGGCATGGCTAAAATGCATGATTTGTTTGGTATTTTGAAAAAAATACCTCACAGACATGTTTTATATAGGTATGGCCCTACAATAAATTATTCAAATATAGCATGATAGGTACACTTTAAATTATCTCTGTTACAACATTAAAAATATTGCTTACCTGTTAATGCTTTAAAAATAACAATCCAGTTGTTATCAGTCTTTTTACTTTTGAGTGTGCCCTATGTAATGTTATAAATAAAGTATAGGTATATGAGATATAAATGGGAAAGCAGGAATTGTAACGTAACAATTGCTAACAACTGCTCTAAAATCCACGAGCCACTGAGCGTTTATTAAATAAAAAGGCTTTGCTATACCGCCATCATGTGGCAGCAAGAATACATTACACACTATAAACAAAACATGGCGGAGATGTTTACCTTCGATGGGACTGACATTAAATATGTTTTAATATGTATTACTTGTCAACAATCTAATTTGGTACGCTACTGAATTGGATGCACTATCCGAATGTTGATGTATACCTTCCCAGATATAAGTGCCTCTCACTCTTTTGACGAACTTGAACCACAATGTGTCTTCGTACGGCTCTGCCAGCTGAATGTCGCCGGTCCACAGACACGGTTCAAGGGTGGACAGGAGCTTCTTAGAGGTTGTCATCGGGACCGCTGCGCTCAAGTCCCATTGGCCCATTTCCTCACGCGAACCCAAAACAAAGACCTTTACATCCGAAGACTCCGGAGTCAGAATGACTGCGAACCTAAACAACATTGTGGCAGCTTTCATTCAGTGACACGTCCGCAAAACCGTAAAATGTGTCGAGTGGGTTATTAGGCTCTTATATTAAGTCCGCGCGGAAACATTTATTGTAGTGTAGTCTAAAAATACCCGAACTGTGTTTTGAAAAAGGGTGGTTTGCAATGCATCAAAGATGAGTTAGAAAGAATGAAGTCCCACTCTGTCAGAATAACTGCGCACCATACATCAGTCAAATAAAAGTGAACCCGACAAAATAGAACTCACAGTAGATCTACAAATGTGGTGGATAGAAAGAGGGATATGGAATTTCATTACATTTCACTGGTAGATGTGTCTGTTATTTGATTATATGAATACAATTGACTAGATCCATAGATGCAATTTCGAAGAAAATTAATCAAATATATATTTTCTGATTACAAACATGTATTAAAACGCAGAAGTTTAATGTACTTATTCTTTGTCCTCATTCGCTATATGAAAGGGAAAAAAGTACATAAAAGACAAGCATAAGTTAAATAGTTTTTTTATTAATTGCTAATGGAGAAAAAGAAAGAGGAACCTTGTTATGTTTGAAATCATCTTGACTAGTGGACCCACAGTTAAATGCAGCTACCCACAGCTGCATTTTATATCCATTAAGAAAGTCTGATACAACAAAATACACTTAATGTAGAGAAATAAATAAAATAAACATTCACCCTATTTTTATGTATCGTTTTGCCTGTAATCGATAAATATGGGCCAGAGCAATGTTTAAGCCATTACCTCCTGTGTTAGTCAGTTTAGTTTCTGCTCAGCATCACACAACCAAGATATACTCTAGTTCTCCCTTACCAGTATGCAACAACTTACTAATGATCCATTACATCTCATCTATCTGCCCCAGCTATTATACACCACATTAAAAGTATAACTGAACTCCCAGCATGCAAAATAGGTGAGGAGAAATACATGGATACAATCGCAGATCTGCTTAAATAGAAACACTGTTCTCTATCTCCGCAGGGTCCAGGTATGTGTAGGGTAGTTCAAGATGTGAGTTTCTTGTTGTTATCGCTTCACTGAGGTACGACAATGCTGCTTGGAATTCCTTTATCATCTGCTTAGGCTCAGGCTCATCAAATCGTTCCTCTGGGTATGTTCCCAAGGGAATCTGCCAGAAGGACAAAATCAGGAAACAAAGTTTGTGGTAAAAAAGAAGAAAACATCAGGACAGGACATCCTTCTGTAAGTATTTATGACGCCAAACTTACATAGTTTGAGTATCTGTCTGAAAGCAACCACAACAATCCTGCCAAGACGACTGTATCACCAACATTCGGGAGGGTCTCCAGGACCGTCTTCATGCTTGACTGCCCCTTGGTGTTTGGAGGAGGTTTGCGCAGACGGAGCGTGCCGTTGGGGGCCCAGGAGTTGAAGTCATACTAAATTATGAAAAAAAACCATTATAGAAAAAAAGGCAACCTTTACTCCATTGTAATGCTAAGCTAATGTCCTGCAAACGGTATGTTATTGTAAAGGAAACGAAAGCAGTTGGCTGGTCTGCCAAACTTATACTTGATCAATACATTTTCTAATGCCCCAACTATTTACCTGCCCGCTGTTTACAGCAGCATGTTGAACCGTCGTTGTGAAGATCACCATGGTTGTGAACTTGACCACTTCCTCGACAGTATGAAAGGCTGCTGGAAACCCTGTTGGCAGCACAATATGTTCATAAGTCAATCACTATGTGCATTAAAATATACTATTATGATATGTTTCATATTTACAAATGACTTCAGAATATGGGACAAATACCTGCGGCTTTGTTTCCTAAGAAGCCATGTGTGAAGACCTCACTGATCCAGTCCTGCAGCTCAGTGTCTTTATGCACCTCACTGTCTGAGGGATAATAGTGCTCCACTACCGCCTTCACAAAGCTGGCAAACACAAAACAGTTGTATTTTTAATAATATGAGTTTCTGAGAAAGTCTCTAATGGTGTTTGTACAATGAATCACTGTGGACAGTCACAATATTTATGAATAGGTAAAACCTTTGGATGATGTTCCACAGCTTCAGGCCATCATCTCTGTAGTAAAAGTTGGGGATAGACTCCAATCCTCGTGCAGCGATGTTCTCCGGCAGACAGAGGGAGCTGTAGGTCATTTCAGAGAGATCCCTTCTCATGAGCTCTATTAGTCCAACAAATCCAAGTGAACTCTAACAAATCAAAAATACACATACCATCAGACAAGTTTTTCGACATCAAATTAGAAACCATCCAAAAAACAGAATTTAAGTTGCAAGGTGTGGTATGATAACATTTGTATTTATATTCACAAATATGTATTTGAAAAAGCCTTACATTACTTAAAACCCCATCAGGTCCTAATAGACTTTGGCGCCCTCTAGTGTTGATGTGAAGAGTGTGCCGGAAGTGTGGAAACAGCAGCTGAATAGAGGAAAACAATATTAAAGTCAAAGTAAAATGCTTGATTCAGCAGACAACAAGCAGAACATCAGTGTAAATGAAGGAAGCTATAAGCAAACACAACTGAAATCAGGCTTTCTTTGACTTCTTTGAAAATATATAACCATGATAATTATAAAGTGCTTGGACTCCAACGAGTTAAGTATCACTTTTTGTTATAAAAGTTTGAATTCTTCAATAAATAAAAAATAATGGCTCATAAAACCAGTTTCCAAAGAAGATCTAGAAAGAATTGGGAGGAATGAAACCCTCTTTAATGGTCATACATGCAGAGCACACAGCATACACAGTGAATGTGTTATCTGCTTTTAACCCATCCTAGTACCAGGAGTCTAGTACTAGGAGCAGTGGGCAGCTACTGTACAGCGCCCGGGGAAATGGAAGTAACAAAAAAATACTATGAAAAGTAAGTGAATGACAAATAACAAAATGATCTACAAGTACAATCAAATATACAAAAAGAGTGAGACAAATACACACATTTAATACACACATGAAAGTTGTGTTTCATGCGTCAAAAGATGTGTTTTAGATGTGTGCAACATCTTCACGGATACCTCTCACCCCAGTCACAACCTGTTTGCACTTCTGGTATCTGGCAAGCGTTTCAAAAAGGCCTTTTTTAGAGTAGAGTCGTTTTTTGGGGAATTCACATGTTGAGTTACGTTAATCTCAGCATAGTCACATACTTTGCATTCAACCTCGCAAAGTAATGGGGTTTAATCAAGGAAACTTGTTTGCACGCATGCCTCTTTATTTTTGAACATTTCCTGTCTCAGCTTTACTATCAACCATCTCTAGTATAGACATAATATACCTGAAAATCAATCAATACAAATTCTAAGCATTATTTCAGATCAAGGGAATACAAAAAACCTGCACTACCTCTGTTGTGTGGAGTACTTATACCTTGTACATTGGGTGAATCACAGGGAAGCTGCGGAGAGTTGCAACAGCGAAGGCCTCTGCCAGAAAGTGAGTCCTCATGAAGTGATGGACTGATTCGTGATCCATGCAATCTGCATTTTTAATGAACATCTTGGCTAGCAGCCAGTCAGTTTCTGGGTCGCTGGGCAGGAAGATGGGGTTCTTCTCAGATGGTTGTTGATTCAACTGGAAATTGATAAAAAATAGATTATTAACTTTCCCTTCACGATACCTTAAAGAATGTTTTCCATAGACTGACCATGGTAAAGACCCATAACATTACATGCTGGCTTTTAAATGGATTTTACAGTACCTGTTTTGCAATTGGCATCAGTTTGTTTTCTGGGTTCACGTTGAGCAAACAGAGACCAGCAGTCACATGCAGAGGTTCACCATTATAGGCTGCAGGGGGAATTCCATCCATCTTCTTCTGGTCATAAAGGAACATATTGCCTTTCTGGAAAGAAATAAGAAAGAAATGTTTAAGACGTCATCGAGAGGTATCACAGAATTGTAATAAGTCAAGGAAGTATGACAGAGGGATAGTAAATGGACAAATCATGATTCCGAAACAAAGATTACCATCCATTTCAAGTTAATCTTCATTCATACCTCCATTTCCTTCTGCAGAGAGCTTCCCTCTTCCAGGAACGGCTTCACCATTTCCTCTGTGACCGGGAAGTTTTTGGGAAGCTCTGAGCAGCGCTTGATAACACCGGGGTTGACTCCATTCAGGAACTGATATCCATAGAAGTCATCTTCCATCCAGTGGTCTGCAACATACTCTGGAAGAATAGCAATTGATATATAAAAAATATACTAACATTATATATTCGGTTTAATACGAATAACAATTGGTTCATTTAATAAATAATACAATTTTTCTAAAATGTTTTGGGGTTTTTCAGGTTCAACATAATTATCATTCTTATTGACTGTAAAGCAAAAATGTTGGTCATGTATTTAAATAATTTGTACTTTTACTGAAATACTTAACTTTGTAGAAAACAAATAATTGTACAGAACAGGAAAAACATCTACTGAATATCTATCTGTTGTTAATGAAACCATGACATAGATGGGGTGAGTTACACTGACAACTGGTAAATGGGATAAAAAGAACATACCTGACGTTGTTGTCTTTTTACACCAGAATATTTTTTTTATGTCTTCAATGCTTTCCCATTGTGCAGTAGATCCGTGCAGCCCCTTAACCTTGAGTTCAATACCACTGAAGTAAAACAAGGAACAATTAGAACACAGGAATAAACAACATACAGAAATTAATTGCAATGTACCCTTTCCCTCAATATTTCTAGATTCTAGAGCAGGGGTCGGCAACCCCTGGCTCGCGTGCCAGCATTGGCACGCGGAACCGTAACCAGTGGCACACTAGGAATAAGTGGAATAAGTGTGCAAAATATTTAAATTGTATTTTCGGATCCTGAACGAGACCGCCGCCAGAGCGCGTCTCCCCGTTACACAGGGGGATAGGGAGCCATGCACGCAAC